AAGTTCTCTTCCAACAAATCCTGGACAATTTTCTCAGTGGTTTTATTTTTCTCTTCCTGTTCTGGAATTCCAATGACACGTAGGTTATTCCTTTTGATGGTATCCCACGTGACCCTTAGGCTTTCTTCATTTTGTTTTGAACTTAAAAATATGGAACATTTCATGAATTTGCATGTCATCTTTGCACAGGGGCCATGCTAATCTTCTCTGTATCATTCCAATTTTAGTATATGTGCTGCCAAAGTGAGCACCAATTTCAATCTTTTTTCTACTTATTATGATGTTGCTTATTGGCCCAACTGTGTGAGGATTCTGCTTTTCTTTATGTTGAGGTGTAATCCTTACTGAAAGCAGTAGTCTTGGATCTTCCTCAGTAAGTGCTTTAAGTCTTCCCCATTTTTAGCAAGCAAGGTTGTGCCATCTGCATATCACAAGTTGTTAATGAGTGTCCCTCCAATTGTGATGCCATATTCTTCTTCACATAGTCCAGCTTCTTGGATTACATGCTCAGCATACAGATTGAATAAGTATGTTGAAAGGATACAACCCTGACACAATATTTCTTGATTTTAAATCATACAGTATCCCCTTGTTCTGTTTGAATGCCAGCCTCTTGGTCTATGTACAGGTTCCTCATGATAAAGTGTTCTGGAATTCCCATTCTTTGTAATGCTATCCATAATTTGTTATCCACACATCAAATTCCTTTGCATAGTCAATAAAATACAGGTAAACATCTTTCTGGTATTCTTTGCTTTCAGCCAAGATCCATCAGACATAAGCAATCATTCCTCATTCCACGTTCTGTTCTGAATCCAACTTCAATTTCTGGCAGTTCCCTGTTAATATACTGCTGCAACCATTTTTGAATTATCTTTAGCAAAATTTTACTTCTGTATGATATCAATGATATGGTTTGGTAATTTCTGCATTCTGTTGGATCACCTTTCTTTGAAATATATCTCTTCCACTTGCTTGGCTAGGTAACTATCTTCCAAATTTCTTGGCACTGCATCCATTTGTTGAAACATCTCAGTGGGTATTCTGCCAATTCCTGGAGCCTTGTTTTTCACCAACTCTTAGAGTGTAGCTTGGATTTCTTCCTTCAATACCATTGGTTCTTGATCATACACTACCTCCTGAAATGGTTAAACATTGACCAATTATTTTATACAGCGACTCTGTATTCCTTCCATCTTGTTTTGATGGTTCTAACATTGTTCAATATTTTACCCATAGAATCCTTCAGTACTGCAAATTGAAGCTTCAATTTTTTTCTTCAGTTCTTTCGGCTTGAGAAATGCCAAGTATGTTCCTTCCTTTTGGTTTTTTAACTCCAGGTCTTTGCATACTTCATTATAATTACATTACTTGGTATTCTCAAGCTGCCCTTTGAAATCTTCTGTTCAGATCTTTTACTTCATCATTTCTTCCATTTGCCTTAGCTACTTTCCTTTTAAGAGCAAGTTTCAGTCTCTTCTGTCAGCCATGTCTTTTCTTTCTTTCCTATCTTTTTATTGACCTTTTGCTTTCTTCACGTATGATGTTCTTGATATCATCCCACAGCCTGTATGGTCTTTGGTCACTGGTGTTCAATGTGTGAAATCTGTTTTTCACTTGGTCTCTGCATTCAGGTGGGATATACTCAAAGTCATACTTTGGCTCTTGTGGATTTAATTTTATTCAGCTTCTACTTCAACTTGCATATGAGCAATTGATGGTCTGTTTCACAGTTGGCCCCTGCTTTTGTTCTGACTAATGATAGCATCTCCATTGTCTCTTTCCACAGATGCAGTCAATTTGATTCCTGTGTATTCCATAATCTGGTGAGGACCATGTGTATAGTCATGATTTATGTTGTTGAAAAAAGGTATTTCCAGTGAATAAGTCTTTGGTCTTGTAAAAGTTTATTATGCGATCTCTGACGTCATTTCTTTCACCAAGTCCATATCTTCGAACTATCAAAGCTACTTTCTTTTCAATTTTCACATTCCAATCACCTGTAATTACCAATGCATCTTGACTGCACGTTTGGTCAATTTCAAGTTGGTACTACACAAGTTGGTAAAAAATCTTTAATTTCTTCATCTTTGGCTTTAGTGGTTGGTGCATAAATTTGAATAATAGTAATATTAACTTGTCTTCCTTGTAGGTATATGGATATTATTCTATCACTGACAGCACTGTACTTCAGGAAAGACCTTGAAATATTCTTTTTGATAATAAATATAACTATTCCTCTTCAATTTCTCACTCCCAGCATAGTAGATCATATGTCTATCCAATTCAAAATGGCCAAAACCAGTCCATTTCAGCTCACTAGTGCCTAGCATATTGATCTTTATGCTTCTTACACAAAAGCAAAATTATAGCTGTACAGAAAAGTTTCGGTCGAGTGCCAAAAACCAGGGAGAGGTGCATTTGGGAGAGAAAGCACAAGGGAGGGACTAGAGGACTAGACTAGAAAAGACTCCCAGAGATGCAGACCCTGGAGGAAGGGGGAGGCAAGACCTCTGTGTTCTCATCTGGGAAACGAGGGCTCAGTGCACACAGGCTCTAGGGTGCTTTCAAGGAAGAATGGCATAGTGAGGTCAGGAGCAAGTACTGGCATCAAGCAAACGTGGCTTTGAGGCCCAGTACTACCACTTACTAGCTGAGACTCCTTATGCTAGTTACTTAACCTCTCTGTGTCTTAGTTTCCTCACTTGTAAGTTGGGAAAATTAATAGCGCCCACTCTCAAAGGGTTTCTAAGTTTTAAATAAAAATACACGTAAATAACTTAGAATCATTCCAAGAAGAAGAATGGGCCATCTTGTCCAAACTTTGTCCATCAGGTCTGTCTGGAACCATCTAGAGGGTGTCTCTTGTTTTTTCTTTCCCTGATAACATCTGCGGATAACTTCAGGTGCTACTATGACACGACTGTTTGTAATTGTAGTACAGGATAGTATTATATGTATGTTACTACATAAATATTACATCCCATAAAAAAATCATGACAGCAGACCGTCTTTTCCCAACTAATCTCATCCTGGAATCAAAACATCCACCTAAAAGGGAAAAAGTACTAGGATGAAGGTAGGACAGTTGGTCTCCAATAAGGGAGAGAGTGGCTAGACAGCAGCATGGCACTCACCAGCACATCCACATAGAGGATCCAGCAGTGCTCCCGAGGACTAATGCAGAGGGACTTCAGGTCAACGCTGCCCTTATTGTTAAATATCCGGTAGAGCGTGTTAGCAATCTCTGTGCCAAGGTCGTCACCTCCTCGGCCTTCAAATTCAGGGGTGGCATTGGCTGAACTACACAGAATGACAACAGAAAAGCTGGGTGAGTCTTTCCAAATGCAAAGACCAAAGGGGCAAGGCATTATTCCAGTTTCCCTATGCAATGATGGAAGAGGCAGCAACTGCCAAGAAAAGTCTCTGAAATGAGGAGAAAACAGTATCTTCCACCTCTCCAGCCTCCAGACACATACCAGCACTGTGCCTTGGATCTGTCAATGTATGTTATGGAAGTTCCCACTGACTTCTAACTGAAACCATCCCTATCCAAACAGAAACAAGAGAGTGATGGTAAACGGAACCTCGTCCAGTAATTATTAACTCTCTTATCTTCAAAGTATAATAAACATTATTCTCTGGCAGGCCCAGGAAGTTGGAGGCCTAGAGTCTGGCTCATAGAGGGGATGCATTGTATATGCCTTCCCCAGTTTTCACAGCCTTAGAACGCACTATGGTACTCTCAACATAAAAACCACAATGTAAGTATAATAATCTTTCTGAAATGGTTTAGAAGATCTATATGACAGTATGCCAGAGTCATGCCATAAACTTTAAATTAAAATAAGAGAGAACTGGCTGATTAAATATTAAGTTACCCCTTTCACTTTATTTGATATTTTTTGAAGAGGAAAAACTTCCCTTCTGGCCTCTTGACACTTATGCCCCAATTACCTCAACAAAGAATGAACAGGATTCAACATTTGCCACCACAAGCACTAAACAAAGTGTTTAACTAGAAAATTTTTCAGGGTTTGGCTTAATACAAACAAACCTTTAATATATCTGGGAGATAAGTGAACATTCCAATAATCCATTTACTACAACAACAAAGGCCCAGAAAAGTAAGAACCAGCTGTATCAGGATAAACCAAACCAACCTCACTGCCATCTAAGTCAATTCTGACTCATAGCAACCCTATAGGACAGAGTACAACTGCCTTATTGAGTTTCGAAGGCTGTAAATCTTTGTGGAAGCATACTGCCTCATCTTTCTCCCATGGAGCAGCTTGCCGGTTTGAACCACTAACCTTTTAGTTAGCAGCCAAATGCTTTAACCACTGTGACATCAGAATTCCTTTGTAACAGGACAGGCTCTATAAAATCAAATATTAAAGCTTTCTGATCTCAACCCATCTGCCTATCCACTCAACTGTCTGGAAGGTACCCAGTCCTGTGATAGGTACTGGGGATCTAAATATTGAGGAAGGTAGACGCAGACCCTAAGCCAGCAATTCCAGGGAAGTAAGGGGAGTAAGGAAGGAGCTCTGGTGCTAAAGTGGTTAAGGCATTTGGCTGCGAATTATAAATGTTGTTGGTTCAAAGCCACCAGCTGCTCCAAAGAAGAAAGATGAGGCCATCTGCTTCTGTAAAGATTCACAGCCTTGGAAACCCAGTGGGGATTGCTATGAGTAGGAATGGACGTGATGGCAGTTGAGTTTGCTTTTGATTTTCGGAAGGTGAGTGTTAGGACAGAGAGCAAACAGCAGGGGGCGCATTAGTGCCGAGGATTGAGAGACCTCAAATCTGAAGACAGAATGAGTTAGGCAGGCCTGAGAGAGGCAGGGTGATTCCAGGCAAAGCAAACAAGCTGTGTGAAGACCCAAGGCTGTGCCTCCCTGGCATTTATGTAACACTGAAAGAAACCTCACTTGATATATTTAAAAGTCCCTTTTGTCTAGTCCACTCTAATTAGGTGTAAGAATGAATCCTAAAATAATCAGATTGCATCGCTGATGAATCCTAAAATAATCAGATTGCATCGCTGTGTAATTACTTTGCTTCTCTAATTATAGTCTTCCCTTACCACTATCAGCAGCACAACTGCAATGTAAAATCCCCAAGGGAAACTTCATTACTGCCATAGTAACCTTCTGTTTCCTCACTGCCTCTGCCTGCCTCAGTCACCAGGCTGTGAAAAGCAGCTCATTTATGGGGAAATATTCAAGTCACCAAGGACCAAGCTTATTTTGCACAAGCAGCAAAACACAACCTGTTTCTGGTGTAGACACCAAGCAATCAGTATGAACTCTCACCTTTTAAGTGCTTAAAAACACATCTATACCGATCTCTGTGTAGCCAACCTAGCCAGTGATGCTTTTGCTTAGAATGTGAACTTGTTCCTCAACATAGTGGGCTACATCCTTCCGCGTGTGACTAGTTACTTGGGGATTAATGCTTTGACCTTTCTACAGCCATAGAGGGTGAGTCACAGAACTTTCAGGTTCACCTGTCTGAATTAGTCTTCATCAAAAACCACCCCCATTGTTTGTTTGGGAGTTTTTGTTTTGTTTTGTTTTAGACACTGGGCTAATTTAAAGTAGAAATATCAGCCTTCTAAAATGGGTTTTATTTTCACTTTTAACCTGTCATTTTTTCAGCACAGCTTGGGCAGCCAGACATAGAGAATGGTGCAGAGCCCAGAAGACCATGGGAAGCTCCTGTCTGGATGGCACACTGACCATGGAATAACCCTGAGAAGGAGGCTGGGAAAATAGAAGGCAATTTTCTAAGGTGGGGGATGGAGCGTGGGGCTTTAGTGACATACGAAAAGCTCAGAGACCCTGTATTCTGCCAAAGGATAGAGAGGCGGGATCCAGAAGCACTCACAAACACCCTTTCTGACAGTGTTAGAAGCACAGACCTGGAAAAGCCTTAGTGATCATCTTCAGTAGACAAAAATTCAAATGCCTGCAGCCATCAGATACGTAACTATATGCATCTAAACAAAAGGCCACATGTAATTAGCAGGCAGTGGAGACTGGCAAACCTTCCAGCCCTGCCAAAAGGCATTTCAATTTACCTTTGAAAAAATTCCATATGCTAAACAAAAATCTCATAGATGGTATTTAGCCTACAGCAGCATGACCCTGTGAGAGCTTTCATTTTACAGGAAAGGAAACCCTAACAACTTTTTTGAATGTTTATTATGTGCTAGAAACTATCCTCCAAACTTAGGTGTATAACTCATTTAATTCTCACAACAACCCTGAAGTAGGCACCATTGTTGTTGTTGTTATGTGCTGTGGAGTCGGCCCGACTCATAGGGAATCCCTCCTTGGGTTTCCGAAGCGGTATCACTACGGAAGTCAATTGCCCAACCTTCCTTCCAAGGAGTAGCTGGTGGGTTTCAACTGCCAGCCTTCTGGTTGGCAGTCAAGTGCCTTAGGCACTATGCTACCAGAGCTCCTAGGCACCATTACTGACCCATTTTAAAGACAAGGAAACAGAGTCTCAGAATGGTAATTTATCCAAAGTCATGCAACTAGTGACTGTTGTTGTTGTTATGTGCTGTCGAGTCGGAC